TTTTTTTAAAGATAAATGAATAACCGCAAGGGAAGTACAGCGCATACCTTAATTTTAAAGTCGAGATCTCGTTCGTTCCTAGCATTGGGAGCAACAGAGAAGTAACCCGTTAATTCTTCACCTTTCTTCACAGTCAGAGCATCCTACAACATAAACATTGATCTTTAATGAAAAGAAGAAGACGCATAGAAAGCCATACCATTAGATAGAAAACTGTTTGCTTCCAGTGGGTGTATTGTACATCAGGGCCAGTCGAGAATCCTGTCCTCTTATGACATTTAGAGAATTCAACTGTGAAGAAAGTAACAAGAGCCTAAGAAAAAGAAAAGAGATAAGATGGGAGCTTATCTTGGGATTTAATAATTTCCACTTATTGTTCTAAGTAATTTCACACCTGGATGTAGTCATTTCTAGCGCAACGTAGCTGGAAATCTGACTTCCAAGTGAGATCTTCAACCTTCACAGTGTAGAGATCAATCTATAAGATGAAGTTGAATTTCAATCTGTGATGGAAGATTTGATGGAGCCGACGAAACCTTACCTCTTTCAAACAATAATTGTTAGTGACGACTTGAGCGTTATCTACAACATCTACCAGTGGCTCAGTAATTGCAACCTTCCGAATGGCCGACATGTTGAATCCGTAAACGTTATCCCACCTACATAGATAATCCCAAGAATGTAGCCCGAAGATAAGCAATTGAACTTACCAATGAATCTTATCCTCCTTATACTGTCTATCCTCAATAGCGCATAAGAACAACTTAGCCTTGTCCGGGAAAATCAGACCACCTTCTTTCAACCACTTATCTCTGGCGAAGATAACGGTATTGAGCATGGATTCATAGAATAAGCAATAGCCCATCCACTCGGACACTATGATATCGACCTAAAAACATTCAATTGAAAAAAAATTCTGTCTTTGAGCCATGCGAGTAGCTCACCTTTTCACAACCATCAGGAAGTTCTTTTACATCCTCTACTTTAGCTTGAATTACAGTTATGATATCGTCGAGGTTGTTGTCCTTGATAATTTGACGAGACTGCAGAGCCATATTCGAGAACTCCATCTGACAATTACGCAATCAATTTCCAATATTATTTACGTAAAAATACTCAGGTTTTTAATATAAACCCTTTTCCTTGTCGACATTCTAGGATGATATTTTGCACTAGCATTCACGAACAACACTGCAAAAAGCTAAAGATGTAACACGGTGCTTTAGAGTGAACTCTGACTGCTCTAAAACCAATATGTAACTCTCGATACACACAAATGGTGTCTACTACCAGTTTTTTCCAGTTATGAAATGTGAGAATGTTTGACAAAAAGTTTTGTACTAAATCTCCCTCTCAAAACAAACCTTTAAGATATGAAGAATTTTAGGAAATTTTCTTAGAGGGAAAAACTTACCGCGTAGACTTTTTTAGCTCCAGCACGTGCAGCAAACATTGAGAGGATTCCAGTTCCTGATCCAACATCCATCACAATTTTATCCTTGAACAAGTGCTTGTTATGGTATATCGAATTGCGATATGTGACGGTTCTAACTTCGTCTTTTAACATCTCCTGAAAAGCTTGGTATAACAGATAATACATAATTAAAGGAAAAACGAATCGTAAAGACCTCGTGAATCCCAAAATGTGCATAGGAATCGAAATAATAGTCTTTGCTAGTCATTTCCGAAAGGGCTGGACGATCTCCAGTTGCAGATGGGGCTCCCGGCGTGCTTTCTGCTAATATTGGGGTTGCCAGTGCGCTCTCTGCCATTTTTAATCTTAAAAAGATACATTAGATAAAGCATTTCTGCAATTCAAATTGTAATTCAAGAGTTATCTTAACTTAGCAAACGGCGGGATATGGATTTCATTTTAATCTTAGAAAGATATTATTAGATAAAGCGTTTCTGCAAGACAATTTAAGAGTTATCTTAATTGAACAAACTGCGGAATATGGATTTGAGGAAAATGAGGAAACAACAGCTTTTATTGTTTAAAAGCGTTTCCTACAAAAGCAGATACGTGCCATTCGCGAATTCAATCATTGACAAGATTAGTCGGGTCAGGATTTTGTCGATGAA